TATGTTGCAAGTTGTTGAAGTTGTTGGGAATATTACGTATCCACTATTCCGATAACAGAATAATCACATCGTGCCACGTCAATTATCCAGTCATATCTTTGTGAAAGACGGCAGCTATCTGTACACTGTACAGCACATTCTGACACACTAATCCCTTTCATCTCTTGCAGGGTCCGATCGGCAACGAGGGCCCCAGGGGCGACCCGGGGCCTCAGGGTCTGCCCGGAGTCGAGGGTCGTCCCGGCGAGAAGGGCAGCTCGGGCCCCGACGGAAACAAGGGAGACCGCGGCATGCCGGGCCCGGCCGGGCCACCTGGTCCTCCCGGCGAGCAGCCCATCATCCCGCCCGAGCTGCTCTTCCAGCAGTCCAACACCAAGGGACTCGTGCGCAAGAGGAGGCAGACGTGAGTAGGCACACCAGGGCCCAGGGGATCAAACTAGTGGCATACGCCGGGTAACAAAGGGAAAAAAATGCAGTGGGAGAACCGAAACTCGATAGGAATTACAAGGAAACGGGCAGTCGTACCGTTAACACATACAATTATTCTGTATAGTATTTGTATTTGAAAAAAAAACTAGGCCCAACCCAGTCAATGGCATCGTCGTCCGTCCGCTCCCAGACTGCGATGCTACAGCAGCGCCGCCTCAGTAATTTGACAAGTAGAGCTTTCATAATTGCCGCTAGGTGGCGGTAGCGGTAACGCCTGAAGTTATGCTGTTCCGCAATACAGTAAGGCTGAAATTTTACAGAAACACATAGCTTTGCTCATCGGCGGTGGCAACTGGGGAACTTGATATGCCTTTTAATCAGGTAAAGAAATGAAAGCAGCGTTTTTAAATGGATATGATGGAGAAGTTTACATATGTCAGTAGGAGCAGAAGCAACGAGCAATGTTTTACCTACGTGTCAATTTGCGCGGCAGGGACGAGGAGGCGGCCAAGGTGAAGGGCGAGACGGCCTTCTCCTCGCAGTTGCTGGACATGTACAGCGGTATCTACACAATGCGCCAGGACCTGGAGCGAGTCAAGAAGCCGATCGGAACCAAGGACAACCCGGTCCGGACGTGCCGAGACCTCTTCTACGGACACCCGCAATTCGGAGACGGTACAGTCCAATTTTCATCTGTTAAAGCGAAACTGAAGTTGTCAGACGTTGGTAAGATTAACGACCAGAATAAAGGGGAGAAAAAAGGTCATAGAATAAAACAGATCGATCGATCAGAATAAAGGAGATATGAAAAATATCCAATCGAGAGGCAAAAGACCTAAACATTTACAGGGTACCTAATAATTCTGAATAGGGTATACTGTATAGCAAGAACTCGACAAGAGTTAAATCACTGAGTAGTTTTGAAAATTGTTTATTCAGGTTTTATCTCATAATTAGCCTTCATGTAACAGAATCAAACTAGAAAACGTGCAATCCACTGACACGTATTGTAATTAGTACGGACGTCATTAGTCACGCTATGCGGCTAAGTCATAGGCGCGGGAGCCGGGGGGGGGGCAGTGGGGGCAGCTTGCCCCCCAACTCTGGGGCCGTGGGGGCGGTGCCCCCGCAGCTTTGAGACGGAATACCACACTTTTTTTGCAAATGTTTTCTTTTTTTGTTGAAAAAGCCGAGGGGTGAAAAATAAGTGGCCTAAAACCGGTGAGAAAACTAGATTTGGGGGTACCCTAGGTTAATCTCTATTATGGTGTGCCCCCCCCCCCCCCCCCCAGTCGGAAAGTAGTTCCCGCGCCCCTGGCTAAGTGTAGCTAGTGCACCAGCGTTTGTAGCACCATTATTTTCTCTCACCGCGCAGGCTGGTACTGGATCGACCCTAACCTGGGGATGCCGGACGACGCCATCCTGGTGTTTTGTAACATCACCAGTTCCGGCGAGACGTGCGTCTACCCGGACCCCCACGCCAGCAAGATGCCCAGGATACCCTGGAGGAAGACCACCGAACAGGCCAACTGGTTCTCCACGCTAAGAGGGGGCTTCAAGGTGAGTAATTGTAGAACACAAATGATGGCTGACGCAGTGTGATTTTGTAAATTGCCTGATTATGCACAGAACACGAAGTCGAAGCCTTCGAAACGTGTGTCCATTCCAACTGCCTGCAATTTGTTGTTTGCAGAAATGCGAGCTTGTTATGCTCAGGAGTTGAGTCATTGTTTACAGTCAGTTGGCAATAAAAAGCCGACGCTAAAAATAGCAAACACATGCTGCATCGATTATCTCAATACGATAACCTCATTCGGAGAAAACTCAATGCCTGTTCGATTTTCACTGCTCGTACGTGGTACGGCGAAACTGAGTTCATTGCCCCTTGTTTCCGATCAGTCATCGGTCACTCACCCTGGCGGTGATTCCACTTACACCCGTCTGTGCGTATGTTTTCAGATGACGTACGAATCGATCGGGCCTGTTCAGATGACGTTCCTGCGACTGCTCTCGGAGCAGGGGCGTCAGAACTTCACCTACTCATGCGTCAACTCTGCCGCCTGGTGAGTACGTCCAGCGCTGCCAACAGCAACACGCGTGAGGTGCGCTTCCTGCTCAGCCGGCGTCAGTTTCGGCAGCTCACAGTCTCTGTTGGCTGAGCGAGCCGCCGGCGGCGGGAAGTGTTTACCAGACGTCGTATTGCATGACGTGAGGTGCCGATTTTAAACCCGACTTGTTCTGCCATTGTGGCTCAAATGTAACAACACTGGATTGCAGACGGATATTTCCTTTCTTACTAACTGTGAAGTGGCAGTTAGTCGAAAGTTAACGAAAGTTAACGACAGTGTACGAAACAAGAACGCTTTTCTTAACAGTTTCTAGCCATACGATGCTATAACTATGTATGTATATTAATGAGTTTATAAACAGGAATTTCCTAAGTCAGCTTAGCGCAATGAATAATTAATTATGGCATGCTTGCAGGTACGACACGAAGGAGAAGAATCACGACAAAAGTATCAAGTTCCTCGGATCGAATGGCGTTGTTTTCAGCAGCAAAGAATACGCAAGAAATATTCGAATACAAGAGGATGGATGCCGCGTAAGTCTTACTACATTTTATGACATTTTATGCTTCGATCAGTTGGGCTTAGAAGCATTTAAAGAAAATAGCCATTATCTGCACCGTAAAGAAGCTGTATTGTGTTGGCAGCATCCGAAATTATAATCAACTCCATGACCATTTATTAAACACAGTGACAAACACAAACAGAGCAGTAGCAGCGAAACACCTTCAATTAAGAGGGGGGGGGGGGCACTGCCGACTTTTGGTCCCATTCTTTCCATGCAATGTCCATAGGGCTAATGTTAAAATGCCTAAATCAAAGGGGGGCACGGTGCCCCGGTGCCCTCCGTTCCGCCGCCTATGAAACAGAGTCCCCCATCAGGCAGTGAGAAACGATAGTGTTATGCTTAAGTTCAGGCCCAAGCAGTACGGCTGTGGTGATGTTTAGACCGGCCATTATCAGTGCCAAGCTGTGAATCACGACGGCCAGCAGGAACTACACGCAGATCACAAACAACTGTACGGTCCCTGCCGTGTCAGAAGATGCTTGACTCAACGTCTGTCTGTGAGCTGACGGTCTTGTTAAGACTGACTTCAGTGTGTACCACTGCCGGTCATGTCGTAGTCTACTTTTGCTAGTCAGTGTGTCATGTTCATGGCAAGTGTCAGCGTGTCATGCTATCAGCATCACATGCGCACCCGTGTGTCGACAGACGCGGCGCGGTCCCGGTCAGACCGTGCTCGAGGTCAGCTCTGCCGAGCTCGACCAGCTGCCGCTCGAGGACTTCCTGCCGGTAGACTACGGCGTGCCCAGCCAGGCGTTCGGCTTCGAGGTGGGCCCCCTGTGTCTGCGCTGAGCGGCAGGGGCGCTTCACCAGACGGTCAGCGCCTTAGACAGGAGGTTCCCAGCGCCCCAGAACAGCGACTGGTGAACACAACAACTGAAGACCAGCGGGGCGACGGGAAAAGGGCCGGATCCAGGCCGACAGTGGAGCGAGAAAGATCGGAGAGAGGGAGGAGACGGGAGAGACGAGAGGGAGACCGTCAGGAGCGGACAGAGGGACGGAGGGAGCGGACGGAGGAGTGGAGAGAGCAGACAGAGGGCGGAGCGAGCGCTGGAGAGCGCCGGTGGTGCTGCAGAACACATCACGGTTGGGTGGCTGTGCGCCCGGGGGGCGGGGCGGGCGCCGCCGCGCCCCTCGGGCTCTGTCGGGCGCCGGGGGCGCGCTATAGGGCGTCCCGGGGCGCGGGGCGCCGCCGCGGCCGCCGGCCCGGCTGCTGCTGCTGCGGGCCGGCCGGCCCGGCGGCGAACCCGCAGCCCCTGGCCACTCATTAGGTAGGTTTGTTGCATCGTATGTAATATAAGGCATCGTTAACAGCCCAGTCAGGGATTTAACTGTGTACCATTATTGTGTGTCATCCATAGGTTAAGAGCACAAGTACTGCCATTTTTAAGAAAATCAATAAAAATGCACAACATTAAAGGTCGTGTTTTTATGCAATGAACATGATCTGAGCCGAACGTTTGAATGACTTTGAAGGATTCGAAGTCACCCATAGGAAATGGAAAGCCTTCAACAAACGGCGAAGACTTTCAGCATGGAAACTTGTAAATGAGGCATTGGACAATGGCCATGGACGGTTGAGGCACACGCTTGATGATTTATGCAAAGTTAGACTCGATAGAACCCGATAGTGCATCTTTTGAGCTCAGTTTAACCTCAGGGTACTGGTATGTTTCAGAAGTTTTTTTTTTTTAATAATAAGTAAAACATGCATGTTTTTATTACCTACAGGAATGATCAAATACCCATAGAGATCTTAGAGATCTTATGATCTTTATGCATAAACCAGTCAAGGCGAATCAGAGCCCATACCTACAAATCACTTTTGCAGGAGGGGTTCTGTAAAACGCAGCACGTTACAGGTAACAAGACGCTTCAATCCTTGCTCAAACTTCAAATTAACACAGAAATTTGGAGACGCTTTGTCCGCTTTTGTTCGTCAGCGAATTTTAGTTACGGACTTTAGCACCATTTCATTTGCACTCACCCGGGCACGAAATATCCTTCATAAGCTGAAATACTATCTGAATTCGTCTATATACTTCGTTCTTTTATATCAGGGCTATTTCTGCATCAATTGTTCCCCACGGCCTATTACTTGATACAGCATTTCTAGAACCTGTTATATCCATGTCGCCCAATTTGACCCAAATGCAGCATTGAAGTAATTATTGTCGTTTATGAGCATGGCTGAGGAAGGTGAAGCACAGGAGGTCCCTGCAGAGGCCACTGCAGCCGAAGATCCCGCACAGCAGACGGAGGAGGTCCCGAGCGGAGACGCGTCCGCACCTGCTGAGGAAGGGGCTGGCGCAGCTCCGGATGCGGAGGCGGTCGAGCACTCCCAGACAGCCGACCCTCCTGAGGGACCTCCCGATCCGGGCGATCAGGGAGCGGGAGAAGGCGCTGCGCAACTGAGCCCAGAAGGCCAACAGCCGGCGGCGGAACCTAATGAGGAAAGCGCAGTCCAACCAAGCCCAGAAACGGGAGTGACAGAGGGAGAGAATGTCGCCCCGACAGACGGAGATCCTGCGGGAGGTGCTGCGCCGCAATCTGATGCCACTCCTCAGGAGGCTGACCCTGGAGTCACTCCAACCATTAACGCAAGTCAACAGGAAACCGACGAGGCTGCTCACGACTCCACCACCGGAGGGGAGCCAACGGTCGCAGAGGACGACGCGTCCTCACTTGGAAAGGGAGAGGAAGAGGAGGACGGGGTCACTGACATCACATCGCAACAGCCTGCGGACGATGAAGACACAGCGAGTGCCGCGGAGCAGACGACAGAGCGCGGATCAGCGGAGAGCACATCCGCCCACACACCAGAGGACGAGAGCACGTCAGACCGGTCCTCGGCAGAGGAAGCGACCACGCCTGGCTCCGCGGACAGCGGCGGCCGCAGCAGTCTGACGCGTCTAGTGGAGCGCAGCAACCTGGAGCAGCAGCACCGCGCGCTGCTGCTGCTGCGCCGCCAGCTGCTGGCGCGCAACCAGCGCCTCCAGCAGCGGCTCAGCCAGCACTTCAGCCGCAAAACGGACGACGCCGCCGAGCGCGTGGAGAAGAACGTGGGCGAGCTGGAGGCGCGCTACAGCCGCTACCTGAACGGCATCCGCGAGCAGCAGCGCTTCACGGACGAGGAGCGAGAGCGGCGCCAGCAGGAGCTGGCAGCCTTCCGCGCCCAGGTGGAGCAGCAGAGCGAGCTGGTGGCCTCCGCCTACGCCGAGGTAGTGGACCTGCGCAGACAGGTGGCTCTAAAGTCGCGCAGCAGTCGCACCGGCCGCCTGATGGCTGCCTCAGAGGTGGAGGCGCTCATCAGTCGCGAGCAGCAGAAGGAGGTCGAGGTGCAGGAGGCGCGCCTGGAGAGCCTCCGCCGCGAGACGCGCCTCAACCGTCTCGAGCAGACCCTGCGCGAGAGCGAGGAGCTCGCCGGCGGCATCCACCTGATCGACTTCGAGCAGCTCAAAATCGAGAATCAGACGTACGCCGAGAAAATTGAGGAGCGCAACGAGGACCTCACCAAGCTGCGAAGGAAGATCAGCAGCACCGTGCAGATCCTGACCCACCTGAAGGAGCGGATCCAGTTCGAGCAGACAGAGAACACGCGCCGTCGGGAGCACCTGGAGACCGTGTCGGCAGAGGTCACCCACGGCCGAGAGAGTCTGGCGCAGCTCAAACAGCGCCGCGACCAGGTGCGCAACCGGACGGCCAGCCAGCGCGCCACGGCCGGCCTGCTCGGGCACGAGGCGCTCCTCCGCGACTTCGAGGCGCGGGTGGACGAGGAGGCGCGCCTGGTGCGCGAGCTGCAGACGCTGAAGAAGGAGTACGCCGACCACCAGCGGATGACGCAGGAAATTCGTCAGACGGTGCGCGCGCGCAAACAACAGCAGCACGACAAACGACACAGGTCGGCCAGCAAACACTGACCGGGAGAGCAGCAGCAGCACGACAAACGGCACAGGTCGGCCAGCAAACACTGACCGGGAGAGCAGCGGAGCAGCGACAGACACTCGCTGAGAAAGCAGTGGAGTAGTCGTAGGACGGTCAGCAGACGCTGGAGGGCGCAGGTCAGCAGAGTAAATATGGGCAGACACTGACGGGACGGCAGTAAAAATAATGCATGACGGTCATGTTCCACCGGGGAATACGTTCCTGTTGCAAATAATGACACTGACGTTAGACATTATAACAGAGCCCGACGCATAACGGTGGCAAGCCAACGCGCTGATACATACCTACTCTATAGAAAAAGAACGTCAGATTTATCTATTGAAAAGATGCAATGATTTTTTGTTTTGTTTAATAAAACAGTTCATGTCGATTTGTGTATATCTTGAAATGGAGACAAATGTTGATGTTTAAAGGTAACAGGAAAATATACCATAGGTAGGTACCGTTATCTACCAACACAAGGGAAAACGAAATTAAACTCATACCTCATCTTGGGATAGCAAGCTCACAGGGCTATGGTGCATGAGCTGAGTTCAAGTTATCGTAGTCCGGTATTTGATAACGTGGGCGTGGCTTGGCTGGCATTTTCTAGGGGACCATTTTGCACACTACCTTTGTTTTCAACGCATTATGTTCTGCAACAGATCTAAAAGATAACGAGATGGTAACGCTAGGGTCTGTAAACGATCTAGCAGAGCCATAATGAACACTGGTTCCGTTTCAAAGAGCCGGGTCCTGATATCAAAGCCAGTGCCAAAATTAGCGGACAAGGCTCCTTGGCATCTGGCTGGACGTGCTCTGTTCCGCTCGGCTGGCCTGACGCGCGGCTTAAATCAACTGCGCAGCGCCTGACGCCCGCAGCAACTGCGTGAACCGGCTCACGTATACCCATGACCGGCGGGGCGTGCAGGGTGCAGAGAAAGGCGCCCCGGGCCGGCCTCAGTGCACGCCCGGCCCCTGGCGGCGGCGCGCGCAGGCGGCCGGTCGTTGTCCGGCGATTGGCGGCCTGCCACCGGCCGGTGCCGGCGCCGGCGAGTGGTGCAGGTCGGCGCCGACACCCCCGTCAGTGCTCTCGCGCGCGGCGCGGAGACCAGTCCTAGAGCGGTGCCGAGGTGCAGCCATGTTCCCGTCGACCGGTGAGACGCGCGGCCAGGGCGGAGCGGCGGCGTGGCGGGCCGTGCACCCATCCGGCTGTCCCAGCAGGCCGTGGGGGTACGGCGCGCGGCCCGTGCAGGCGGTGGCACCGGCGCCGGCCGGCCGCGCCCTGCAGCTGATGGCTTCGGTCACTGCCGGAGCCGCCGCCTACGCCTACTACCACAAGGTGAACGGCTACGGTCCCGGCAGCGGCCGGCACCAGCGGCACTGAGGGCCTCGGAGGTACTGAGGCCCCAATGGCAGAGGATCCTGCAGTGGCACTGAGGGGCCCAGCCACGCTGAAGCCCAAGCGGCACTGAGAAGTCAGTGGCACTGATGGTCCTCAGAGGCACTGCCGGACCCAGAGTCACTAAAACCCCAGCGGCGCTGAGGGTCCTGCGGCACCGAGGGCTCCTGGTAAGACGAGGAGACCAGGTCAACCGCCGCAAAATGCCGGGAGACTTTGTTGTCAGTCAGTTGTTTATAGTCTTTCGCCGTCGTCAGTCTGTTGGTGGCTCTGGTATGGACCTGAAGTGACTGGCACTTCGATGGCTCTGGTGCGAACCTTACGTGCGACTGGCACTTCGAGCAGAGGTGCGTGTAGCCGGAAACCGTCGACAGTCGACACTCAGGCACGAGTGAGGAGCTGGCTAGGACAACCATCAGACAGTTCTGTATTCAGGGCAGCGAGGCGGTGCAGACAGACGCAGACATCTCGACATGTCGAAGACAGTCTGTATTCAAGACGGGAATCCGAGCGCCAGAGACCAGTAGACGTCTCACACCAGCAGGCGACACCGGCTGCCAACTCAGAGAAGCCGCATGAGGTCCAGGCGGCGATGTTGATAACCAGTTGAACGATAACGGTGTGTGAGGTTGTGTGCGCACGTGTGCGTTGCGTCACTGGACATTGACTGACAAGTTATCTGTAGGTGTTGGCTCCTTCCGCCCCGCTATACCCCGTGGTTGCAACACTACTGTAACTCAGAAAAGTGCGCAGGCGGATAGAAAGTTACGCCTTGTTGTTGGCCGGTCCGTAGTTGGGATCGTGCTCGTTGGTGTGCAATGTGTAGTGTGCGCGGTCACTGTCCTCCTTTTCCTATGTCGCGCCGGCGCTTTATGTACGAGGCCAGGGCTCCATATGTGCACGGGTCAGGTAAAACGGATTTGAAAGACAGGACGCGATTCTGTGATATGAGCTAAAGTTGAAGTTGCTTTGCTAAGCGACTATGTTACACTCGTCCGTGAGTCTTTTCTGCTGAAGGACGGAATTGCGAAATCATGTGCGCGTCCGATTTGAATTGTGCAATGTCAAACCAAACATGAATGTCGTTTTGTAAATAAATACTAAAAAAAAAACATAGAAATTTTGTCGTGCTTATGTTGACCTGTCTATTTATTTGGAGGACTCTTCCCCCTCTCACTCCTTTTTTATCACTCACTCGCTCACTCACTCTCTCACTCACTCACTCACTCACACATCTTGCTATATTTATTGTGCACTTACTCCATCTTTGTGAAACTTCCGCGACATTTAGGCACCTACATACAGGGTATGAGTACAGTACATATGCGGGCATTTATCGATGTGTCACCACTTGGCCAAACGCGTTCCTACAGCTGCGCGGCCATCTGTGTCCACTGATATGCATGCCCTACCCATCACACCACAGACCTGCTCTACCGACTAGCTACAGGCTGTAGGTACTTGACAGCGAGCTCACGCTATTATAAAAAATCAACTATTGATTTGAAACTTTCAGTCGCGTTATACGATTCAAAGACCAGCTATTTAGAAATCCCGTCTATCTACATACCTACATTAGTCGACAGTAGTGCAGCACACAGCCGCTGATAGAAGACCTGCCGAACGACATTCGTGACCGGCTTTGTCATAATAGCTGTCAGACGACCACACACAGACGGGCTAAAAATAGACTACCGCGGAGTAGCTCCGAATCAAGGACAGCCTGCCGCGCTCCAATCAAGTAGCGTCGCCCAGTCCTGTTCTGCCACGGCGTTTCCCCGAGCTGAGCCTCTGTGATGCCCACCGACCGGCCGGCTGCGGTCAGGCGGACAGGGGCCGGTCGGGCCTACGTTCTAATACTCCTGGGTCGGCGCTCGGCGGGGCCTCTATCTGGTTGCACCGGCTCGGCCTTGGAATCCACCGCATGCGCTCACTGCAACTGCGCAGTGCGGAACTGATGCACTGTGGCCAGTGGGCCAGCGGGCACGGCTGACCACACCAGAGCGCACGCAGCTGCGTCCAACGTGCGTCACAGCGCGAAGAGCCGACGTAGATACGGAGAAGGAAGCAGTGGCGGATCCAGGGGGGGGGGGGCAAAATGGGCATTTGCCCCCCCACAAACGGCATGATTTTAACATTACGCCTATGGACGATGCATGGAAAGAATCGATAAATTTCTATGGTTTGCCCCCCCCCCGCAAAACTCTGAGCTGGATCCGCCTCTGGAAGGAAGTGGCACAGTCTAGGCCGCGCCCCGTGGCCGTCGGGAAAAGGGGAGCCGGTCCCAAGCCTGCTAACTCAAATATATGCGAATTGCTAAAGACATGCCGATATCGCCACCGAAATGTCAGTGACCGTTTTCACGACAGCCTATCTGGCGAATGCACCAAAATTGACTGTTGTATTTCCACCGTGCTTGCGCCAAGCCTCGTCAATACCGACTGCCCGGCCGCCTACTCCGGCGCCGGGCGCGAGCGCGGGTGGCCAGCCGACCACTAGGTGGCGGGGCGGCCAGTACCCGCAGACAGAACAATTGTGTCGGGGCGGCCAGTACCCGCAGACAGAACAATTCCTCCCCTCTTAGGTATAGCACATCGGGAGGAAACAAGCAACACGTGAGAAGCTGGTAAAACGCAAAGCAAGCAGTACATAAGGCCGTAAGAGGCACAGAACAAAATATGCGATCAGCATTTTCACGATGAAGCACGTTACAGTATGCCGATCACATGATCAGACGGTCAGGGGCCCGCCTCTGACGAACGGGGCGGGCCGGAGTCCATGTGCGCGGCGCGGGTCCAGGTGTCAGCGCCGGGGACGACCGAGACGGCTCGGCCGCAGGCGGCGCCGATGCACGAGCGGGCGACGACGGTGCACCAGCGGGCGGCGGCGGCGGTGCACGAGTCAGCTGATCCGGACCGGTGTCAGGTGGCGTCTGGCCAGGCTGCGGCGGTGACGGCCGGGCACCGGACCGGCTGAGGTCGGATGAGACGGCCGCTGGGGCCGAGGCCGGCGCGCTGCGGGCTCGGAGATGGGAGCGGTGACGCACGAACAGTCGGCCGTCCATTAGCTGTACCTCACAGCTTTGACCGAGCACGGCGGCGACCGTTGCTGGTAGCCATTTGTCGACGGCGTTGGTGATCGCTGTTACGTAGACCCAGTCACCGACCTGAAACTGTCTGTCGGATGCGGACTGGTCCGTGCGGTGTTTCCATGAGTATTGTTGTCGAGCGACTTTTGCAGCGATATCTGGATGCAGCTGGTCCAGGGGTGTGCGAAGTGGGCGGCCCAGGAGCAGCTCAGCTGGCGAGCGACCTGTGGTGCTATGCGGTGTGTTCCTGTATGAGAACAGGAAACGAGATAGCCTTGTTTGAAGCGAGCCATCCGTGCGCTTTGCGAGCGCTGTTTTGACGACCTTGACCAGTGCCTCTGCCTGACCGTTTGAGGCAGGATGGAGAGGCGGGCTGAACTTGTGCAGAATGCGATTTCCTTTCATGAAGGCCTGGAACTCGGCAGATGTGAACGCGGTGCCGTTGTCGGTTACCAGCACTGCTGGCAGTCCCTTGGAGCTGAAACTCATTCGGAGCTTTTCAATTGCAGCTGCACTGGAGGTAGAGTGACAGATGTGAACGTCACACCATTTGGAATATGCGTCCACGACCACCAGAAGCTGTTTTCCCTCCAGCGGACCCGCAAAGTCCACGTGGACTCGTTGCCATGGGCGCTGTGGGAATGTCCAGGGCTGAGCGGGCACTTCTGGTTGTGCGCTGCGGTTTGCTTGGCATTTGTGGCACGCTCTCACACACGTTTCGATGTCCGAGTCCAGTAGGGGCCACCATACGTGACTCCTCGCCAGACGTTTCATCTGACTGATGCCGGGATGACCATCATGTAGCATTGTGAT